AGAGAGTTTGGGCCAAGTAGGAAAAGAATACCTACAGCATGAGGGCGGGCCACCGTGCAAGTTGGAACACAGTGGCCTCTGCTGCGTGTTACGCAAGCATTTGTTTATGCTACCAGCCAAGCTTTCAAACTTTAAGGAAATATATTTTCCTAAGATGTTGGTCTATCAAATGTAAAAATCGTAAAACTCTTCAGAGCACGTGAGAAGCCGGTACAAACACCAGGGGTGGGGGCAATAGGCTTGCTCAGTCTCAGGTACTGCACCCAGCCCAGGCTGGGCCTTTACTCAGCTTCCTGTCTCCCTGGCTCCAGTTATCCAGAGCTCAGATGCGCTCTGGGCTTTCAGTACCACGACACTAAGTCACTTCTCCTCCCTCCTTTTCCCTCTCCCCTCTTCCCTTTCGATAAGTTTGCAAGCAGATTACACACTGCCACCTCAGCATCTTCACCTTCCACAATGAGATCTCACTAGAATCACAGCAGGTGGCAAATTGGTCTGATTTATCATTATTTGCATTTTTAATTTGTGGTATTTTAGGCCCAGAGAGGTTTTTTTATGCACCTTAAAAATGACAGCATAAACATCAATACATAATTCATCACCTATTTCTCATAATACATGTGGTTAACATCAGTTGACAAGCAGAGAGGTCACTGGCACTTTGAACAGGATGAGTTACAGCTTTAGCTTCCTTGCCTCCTACTCTTCCCCTCTGAGGTTTATAAGAATAAAGTGCTGTGACTGAAGCATAACACACAGACTTCAAGCTGATGTTGTGTCAACAGGAAGAGCTTTCTCAGTAGCAGCTTTGCTACTCTTAAGAAGGACCAAATGTTAAATAACTGAGATACACTCTTTTAGGCTTCCACAGTTCCCTGATTTGGGAACATTGAATACTTTTAAATTGCAGCAAAATGTGAGAAACTAAGAGGGACTCTTGAACCCCATCCTGCTGTTTTTCTTTCCAAAGCCTTAAACCTCACTCTGTAATATTGCCTTGTCGTCCTTTCTTTCCCCATGCCCCACCCTGTTTTACCAGGCATTGCCTCCACTGTTACTCTAAGTTGGAAGAAAGATGAACTTTTAATTATTTTGAAACACAGATAATCAACCTACATAGACAAACTGCCCAAGAATTTGACTAGGATAATACCAGCAAAATAAAGGCAATTTTATCAGAGGGATGGCAAGAAAGCCAAGCAGACTAAGTCAGCTACAGAGACCTCATTATGTTCTTGGGGGCAGGAAGTGCAATGCAACTGAAACAGACAACTTATTTATTTTTGTTTGCTACTCCAGGTTCTTCTACACAGAAAGCCTATTCCACCAGGATGAAGCACCTCCGAATAGTCCAGCTTACACTAGCTTTCCTTTCTCAGTCTCCTTCTGCATAGGTAAACTCATTAACTAAAATGTCAATTAACAGCAGCGTTCCCAAACCTTATTTTAGGTAAGACCAAGAATAAATGCCTTGCCTTCCATATAACATACAGTGGAGTATATGATTGGTTCTGTTATTTAATGTGTGTGCTTTATCACCACAACCAGCCTACAGTGTTCCTTAGAACCTTCTGTTTTTCCAGTTTATCATATGCCTCTATTAAATACATATGTATTGGAAGTCTAAATCATAGATACAGGTAATCACTTGCTTTCTCAGCTGAAGTGATTATCCTGTTAGCATTTTTTCATTAGCTTTACCAGATATTTCTGGAATGCTTACTACTTTTTCGGGTACTATTCAAGGTGTTGGGAAGTTCTCAGTGACCATAGTGAATTTTAATAATTTTCTATTCCCAAGAGTAAGACACATAAGAAAATCTTTGAAAAGCTATATAATTTCCCCACCAAAAATAATGGCATCTGACTCCAGCTTACCGGAGACCTTGACATTGGCTATTCTTGTTAATGATGGGACTGTATTGGGGTAATAAATTAAAATAGCTCCAAAAACGAGCCTGGCAACTGAATTCAGACTTATCTGGGATGATATTTCCTAGTCAAGGAAGAGTCTCTCCAGGAAGAGTATTTTACAGGGGACGGGTAATGCCACATGACATATTTTCCATGAGACCCTGGGAGCTTTTTATATAATTGATGGCATGGAGTTGGCATGGAGACATGGAGTTGTCTCCATGCCATGTGGCTACAAGCAGCAACATGTGGTCCTTTGAAAGCAGAACAGACTCATTTGGAGAGCATTTTAGAACATATCCACTTGCTCTTTATTCTTTTGTTATAATTTGACTTCTTCCCTGCTAAGCTGTTCCCTGACAAGATTTATAATGTCAGGAATGCACATGCAAAGATAGTTGAATAAGTAATAAAGTTCTAAAGGCACAGTTATGTTCATTTATAATGCGCCATTTGTCAGTGATCTGAAAGACATTATTTCAAACAAAGGTAACTAGGGGGATGTTAATAGCCAGCAAATGTATTTATTTCAGCTCTTATTCTGAGTAAATCACTGCATTGCAGAAACAATTTGTCATCATGTTAGCAGTGTTCTTAATTGTCCACAATTTTTGTAATTTATGTTTTAAATCAAAATATCATAGTAAATGTTTTCAACAAACTTCCAATTTTAGATATTATGTATACTAAAATATGCCAGACTTTGGGTTTTAGCAAGGGAAACAAATGGCTCAGATGTATTTCCAAATGTTAGTCTAGTATCCTTTCATTTAGTCTGGCAAGCTCCCAGATGTGAGATAAAAAGGGAATTGTGTAATTATCCAGATAATCCAATCCAAAACATTCTTTGCTTGGCTTTTTTTTTTCATGACCAGAAATATTTGAATTACTTGGCTATGCTGTTCCTTTCACACAGCCTCTACAGAACTGGTCTGGAAGTGGGGGAATAAGCAAAATTCCACCAACTTTCTTGGGACATCTATGGCCTTTATGTGAGTAGATGAGGGTTAGTATAACAAAAACAAGAAAAGAAAGGCAATAGCTATATTTCATAGGAGCTTCTTCAGGTAATCTCTGGATCTACATCCATTAAGTTGTCTGGATGAGGCCATGAACAATGCAGGGATTATGAAAATGGATTGAAGTGAGTGAATAGGTTTGAGTTGGAGGAACAGATGGAGTAAAACAAGCTTAATTACAGGATTCTTTATTCAACATTGCTGATTCCTGCAAACTTCAGTTGGCCTAGCCTATCTATCCCAGGCTTGTCGGACAAACCTCTTTTTATAGAGAGGCTTCCATGGCCTCATGTATGTGTAACTAAACTGCCCCTGTCTTTCATCTGACTGCCCAGTCTCTGTTTAAATCTTCCAGTTCATCTTACCTATCAAATACATTTGCCAAATTTTACTTTTCATCACTTTAGTTTCTTGATCACAAACTTCCAATCGCTGTCAGGTAGCAGGACAATATTCAAAGGGCAGGGTCCTCTGAGATCCATGCCCAGCTCATCTCTTCAGCACCCCTCTGTGTGCCCCTACAGGAAGGCTGTATTCTAGCGTTTGGAACTTGTCTTTGGTTTCCTCCCCTCTCTGGGCTACCATTACTGGCCCACTTTCTGGGTTTTATCTTTACTTGACTCATCTAAATGCACTAAAATACCTTGGTTTTTCCAGTGATCCAACTTCTCCTGAGTAAGGCCTAACCCCATTCCATGTGCTTCATCTAGACCTCACTAACAGTATGGACTCCTTTGCTGATGGAAACTATTCTTGGTCCCCTAGTTGTATCTCATACAGTGACAGCTATGACACCAAAATCTTATTTCATAATGAACTTCCGTGCCTGAAAGTAACATCTTTCCTCAGCTCAAATGCCAACCGTGTGTCTGACACCCCTTTGGATATTTTATGGCTAGCAGATAGTAGTCTCTGATCAAATAACAGGATATGATCTAATGAGCCCAACTGTAGTTCCTACTCGGCTAGCCACACTTTCTCCTGTGAGGGATCCCTTTTTCATTCACAGAAAGGTGGTAAAACTCTGGGAAGCTCTATACATGACCAAAGCCTCTGGCACTTATTTCTTAGAGTGGCTGAGTGGGGTGTGGGCTCTGAGCACCTAGACTAGAACATCAGTTTTGCTACCTACTGCTTTGTCTCCTCCATTTTTATCCCTGTGTGCTCATAAACAATGGGAATAATAGTACCATGCCATATGGTTGTTAAGGAGGATAATTAAGATCACATGAGTAAAGCAATCAGTGTTTGACATACAACACATGCCTATTAAATGTTTGTTCTTGTTATTATACATCACATCAAAAGAATTTTTTAACATTATGTACCAGCCTTTGCTTTGAGGAGGAGTGTCAGTTGACAGTAAAGCAAGGACTGCTCTTGAATTATGGACTTTGGAGATGGGTTTGCAACCTGTAGGATGATCTGATAGGTGGAAGTGTTCTGCTGGCTGAGTTTCAGGATTTTGTCTTGGGGCCTTTCACTGCAGTGACAAACTCAACTCTACAAAGGCAGTCTTATTTTCCTTTTCACGTGCCTCCTCCATAGGCCACTGATAGGACAATAGCAATAGCTTGCTGCGTTTAAGAAAGGCTGCCTCCAATTTTTTTTTAATCACTTGACACAGACTGACTCTAAGATCAGCCCAGCCCAGGGTGGGATAGAGATGTGAACCATGCAGATTAAATGATCAGCGAGTCTAAGTTCCAGACTAGGCAATATCCTCAAGCAGCTAGGTATGCCAGACATTTCTGCGCTCCCTGGGGCAGAGCTCAGGTCTATAACACCATCCTGCCTGCCTGTTGCTTGTCTTTTGCCATAGGGATTTGTGTGAACATCAACTCATGACCACATTTATGTAGTTTAAAATACTCCACCTGGTGGGCTGCTTTCCCCTTAGGCCTGCATCTGACCCAGATGGGATGTGTCAGCCTTCTCAGCTGTGAGCTAGAATAGCAAGAAGTTCTCACCCTTTCTTAAATTGAAAGACAACCCGCTTTGCTATTGGACACACGTGGAGGAGCCCATCGGGCAATCTGCCTGCAGAGTGGTGAGTGGGAGAGTTACCTTGAATTCAGTCTCAATGTTGGCTAGTCTGGCTAACTCGTTGCTTAGCTCCAGTGCCGTGAGGACAGGGTCTTCGCTGGACAGGGACAGGTAAGCAGCACTTGCCAGTCCTTTGTAGGCATTCATGCGGGAGCGCGAGTGGCTAAAGGAGTCTTTCCTCTGCTTTTCTGTGCACTCCACGCACTTGCAGAAGTAGTCGTGGGGTCGTTCTATGCGGGCGCCCTTGAGCAGCAGGATGTGCACGATCTCGTACTCCTGACAGTGGGCTGCCAGGATGATGGGCGTGATGTCATGGGAGAAGCGTGTGCCATCCTCGTCATAGGCGTAGAAGTCGTCATCCCGCAGCTCTTGCTCCAACGGGCTGAGGGTGAGGCGCTGGCCCTGTGCAAAGGCCGGGTGGTTGAGGATGGCTTCCACGATGCGCACGTAGCCCTTGCTGATGGCCAGCAGCAGCGCATCCCCCACCCGCGCCAGGTTCTCTTTCTTGAGCAGCAGCTCGGTGACCTCCAGGTGTTCATTGCCCACAGCCAGCTGCAGGGCATTCTGCCCCATGTAGTCCACACAGTTGAAGTTGAGTGTTTTGGACTCTTCCAGCATTTTCCTGACCACCGGGATGTTGCCATACTCAGCTGAGTCCAGAAAGCGCTCTTCCTCTGGCGTTAGGCTAGTACCCTTCTCGTTGAACATGTACGCGGGGCCCCGGATGGCCTGGCGGCGGCCCTTCTCCCTCAAAGTCGTGTGCCGGCGCTGCATGTTTTTGAAGGTGTTGCTCCCCAACCTGTGGAACAACAAGGTAACAATGATCACTTTCCCCAGAGGTCTGTGGAAAAATCATTTCATGTATCACTGAGAATGATACAAATTAGATTGCCTGGACTATTTTTTTTCCAGTGGAGGAATACTGAGCGGTTGAAACTCTGTAGCCCTGAGGCGGAGGAATGGTGGGCTCTAGAGTTGAAGAATGGGTTGAAGTGAAGTGTGATAGGAAATGCCGTGCAGGGTGAGGGTACGGATGAAGCAGGCAAGGGCTGTGGGTTTTATGTAAAGTTAAGCAAGCCACTCCACTCCTTCTGTGTTTTTCTTACCTTCACAAGATGGCTAACTTTTTGTGTGTTGTAGTGTCCATGGGGAAGATTAAATAAAGTAACAGATGTTAACGTTGGTTTTGTTCTGTCCCTTTCTGTCTCTTGTTATGCATGTTTTCCAGTGACAGTGCCACGGAACTGGCCATTGCAGTTACTGCTGCCTTTGGTTCAGATGCCTCACTCCTAATGATTTCTTGCACTGTAGTGAAACTGCAGCAAAGTACAAGTGCGGCCGCATGGGTCTGACTCTGCATCACGTGCTATTCTCTATGGGAACTGTGTTTTCTGGTCCCCATGTAACTTAAGATACTTACTAAAAGGCAAGAAGCAGGACTGGAGTCACTGCCATATTCTGATCCCTTGCAATCAATTCTCCTGAAGGAATTCTTACCATTGCACTTGGATTTTTATATGGGCAGCAGAAATAGTTCAACTTACATGCTGGGTTCACTTAAAACTCTGCTCTTTCCCATTGTGGCATAGTGTGGAGTTTAATACTAATATCACTGACAATAGCAGTTAATATTTATTAAGCTCCTATTATGTCCCACCTTCTATACTAACAGTGTCACATATATTGATGTGTAAAATTCTTATATCAAAGTGAGGAAGACAATACTGTTATCCTCATCTCAGATGAAGCTGCTGAGTGAAAGGGGCGGTCAAAAGATACCCCTTAAAGTCAGAAAGTTTAGAGCAGAAATTCTGACTCTGGCATTTTCCAATCTTGCGACTTTGGAAAAGTTACAATGAATAACACCCGTCATGTAATTCGAATTCAAGCCAGGCTGTTCCATCTCCTACTACCTTTGAGATCTTGAGCAGGTACCCAGTTCCAGGCATCAGGACTGTAAAGCCTCTACCCTAAACTTCTACCAACTTGGATTTCTCAAATTCTTCAGCTTCCCCAGTTGATCCTACCTGAATTTTGTATTCTCCTTTCTAGTGTACTCCCACTCACATTATTCAAGTAATATTACAATGGCATGAATTTTAACAAGAGAATATCTATTCTAAAGAGTCAGTACTTAGAGATTTGTTTTAAACTATTTTTCAGGGTCCCAGAGACCATGAAATTAGCTCTTATTACATATGGATTTTGTCTCCATGCATAAAGAATACTCACCACTTCACTTAAGCTATTTCAAAAATAAATCAGTACAGAGCAAAGCTTTTAAATAAGACCTAGTGTTTTGAGATTTAAAACAAAGTCATTGTCAGTCTTGTGAATTTTTGACTTTTGGGCTCCTTTTAGTTTTTTGCTCATTTAACCTTTTGACCTGTTCCAATCTCTTTGGTTTTAGGTCTTTGTGGGTCTGACCCCTGATATAAAGCAAAGATTGGAGGCCTGAACTTGATAATCTAATCCTGCCTAGACCCGAGTCACACTTCCCTTGGGCAAAGCTGCTAAACTATATGGTGGAGCAGCTTCTTCATCTGCAAAATATAAAGGGAATAATTATGGGAAACTCCCTCCAAAAGCACCTGTGAGTGATAAATCCTGATAGAGAGCTCTGCATGCCATTAGTGGAAGAACCTGAACTGTCATTCACTTTTCTAAAGTGCTCTTCAATAAAAAATTGCTGGGGAAAAGATCCTCAGGATTCAAGTTCATGATCTCCTTCTGAGCCCATTTTTTCAACAATACTGTCATTCCAGAGAGATACTCTGTTATTCATGCCAAAGGCAGACCCTAGACTGGGAATCCTACAGAAATGTTTACAGGAGAGAGGGATTCACAAATAGCATGCAGGCCCTTATTATTATAGATTTTTCAGAAGGAGAAGTTTAACTGAGTTGAAAGCTAAACATTTACCTCATTAGTATCTCCAAAGGGCCTCATTTTGGGAGATGTAATGAACTTTGTTTCACGGCTTGTCATCTGGGCATACACACAGAGATGGAAGTTAAGGGAACAGAAGACTAATAATTTTCTCACGGAATTACTCAGCCTGTCCTACGATAGGTTTCCACCTCTGGAGAGTACCTCTCTGGACATTTCCATCACAACTCAACCTAGGAAAAAACAGTTTCCGTTCAAGAGCACGGGAGCCATATGTCAGATATGAAACAGCTGCTGTCCTCAAAGAGCAGGCACTACAGCTTGATTCCAAGTTAGAGTTCTATTAGAGATCTAAGAGGGAGAATAGCTTAGACTACAAGGTCAAGGGTATCCAACTATTACACAGCAAGGAGCCTTGGGGAGATAAATTCAAAGGAAATATAATAACTATTGGACCAAGTCAGAGCAGAGAGGCATTTCACAAGGAACATGTAAGTACTCAATCTAAATTCAGAGTCCTATGAATATCACAGACATCACAGACACCACTGCCTAGAAACTTAAAGGATGTTCAAGTGTCTTTTGCTAATTCCTTCATTAAGAAAACAAAGCACAACAAAACATACAAAGCAGGTGCTAGTATTCTCGTCCTCTAGGTGAAGAAACTGAGGTAGGTGAAGTGAAAATACTAAACTTTAAGATAATTTCTGTACAAGAATAGAGCATCATATAAATCTTGATGTTCCTATACTCTTAAGTGTATGTGTGTGTGTGTGGCTTGTACTTGTCAGAAGTTAAATATTTTCACCAATTGTCATGTATTTTTTTCTGAATGACCTTGAAAACAGACACCCAGATATAGTAAGAAATAAACAAGTTTCTCCTTCACATCCTTTAAAATCTCGGTTTTGTGGTACATTTGGATGCTCCAAAAATGGTCATTTCTGCTCTGGAAGATGCATATGAACATATAACGAGGTGTGCTCCTCACTGAGAGTGCTTCCAGGATAGGGGTTTTGCAACAGACCCTGCACCATGTAAATTAAATTAGATTTTGATAGAGGGCATGTAACCTCACTGTGGGCTTCTTGATAACTCTGGCTCCTCCTACCCTGATATCTTTATAATGAGCATTTATACACTTATGAATTTATTCAGCTACTATATGTTTACCATGTAATCTTAATATTGCAGGTATTCATGTTTTAGCCATGTGTCACATCAGTTGGAAAGGATCTACAAATAATAATGTCATAGAGGCCTTTGGTCCTTAATAGCTGGTGGTTAAAGATCACACTATGTTACTCTTATGGGCTCTTGTGATCTTTCCCAATTTTAGGGTCAATTATAAGCAAAATGATTCCCTCTAAAATTTAACAGGCATTTGATTACTTATACTTTAGTATTTTTTTTGAAAATGGAAAGCAAATTCCTTTTTATTTGCATATATTATTGAGATAGCGATGATCACATTCATCAAATACCTCAATTAAGATACTGTGTTTTTCATGTTCCAGAAATGCATACATTGACATTTGGTGTTATTGAGAAGATGGGTTCCAGTGGAAACAACCAGATTTGAGAGGAAGACTGATTATTAAGCTCCCTTTTCATCCCTCAGTTGCTATTTTTATCAAGCTGCTCTTACAGATGCATCAGCCAGTCTCAAGGAAGCCAGATGTAATTCATGAAAAGTATGAATCTTGCACCTTAAATCCAGCTGCAAATGAGCATGACCACAATGCTTCTTAGAGAGGAGGATTGTGCTTAATAACTGATGAAAAAAAGCCCACTTAAAACGTCTTTTTAGAGATATTTTTGTGTTTTCTTTTTCTAAAGTTGCTACAAGCATCAAAGATCTTTGTGGAAAGGATCTGAGCCTAAAATCAATTCAATCTGTAACATTCCCCAACAAAATAAGAGAAAATTCAAGAGTCAGGTCAGACATTCAGGAAAACCCAGCTGTGCTCTATTCTCTCCTCTGACGTGGACATGTTCTGAGTTGCAGTCCAAAGCCACAGTGATGAAAGTCTAGTGATTTGCTGTCTTCTCCCAAATCTCAATTCTCTCCTCAATTTAAAGGATATAATAAAATTCATCTCTCATGTTCTTCATGACCATAGTGAAGATTAAATAACATATACAAAATACCCTGAATACCATACAGCTTTATACAAATGTCCATGACAGTAATGACCACAGTCCTACATATCAATGCACTTAAGTACATGTTTATTTAAATTAACTCAGGTTTTACTCTAAACTGATATACTCAGCTAATTTTTAAAATGACTGTGTGCTAGTGATAATCAAATAATACACATTTACCATGTACCAGATACTGTGCTGAGTTCTCTATGTGAATTATTATTTTAAATAAATTATCATATGTTTAGCTATTTTCTTAAATGCCTACTCAATCACAATGATTGACATTTATTGCACATTAACCATGTGCCAACTTTCATGCTGAGTACTTTACATGCATTTTCAAGTTTTCACAAGTTTCTAGATCATGTAGGTGCTATTGTATTCTCACTGAACAGATGATGAAATGAGGTTTAAATAAATAAACCGTACATCTCAAGCTGTACTACCCATTATTAGAAGTCTAGTCTGCTTGATTTCAAAGCTGTTGCTTTTGACTGATTTGACACTGCTGCCTATTTTCTTACTGCATTTTGTCTAGGGATTTTAATCCTGAAGTTTTTCATTAGAGTGCAGGATCCTTGAGGGCAAGGGAATTATTTATATGGCATATGCACCTGGTGCCCAGTAACTCTGAAGGTTGGCACATGATACGTGGTCAAACAACTTAAGTCTTACATAGTTGCTTTGGGTTGGTCATTTAAGAAGACCAAAAAAAAAAAAAAAAAAAAGGAAGG